CTCGGGACGAGCCAACCGGCGCTTCTGCGTCTACTTCCGCGGCACCGGCTACCGCGGCCTATCCATCGTGGATTATTACAGCGCACCAGCGTGATCCACCCACGTTCGCCGGACTTCGAGGTGAAGATGTGGAGGATTGGTTGGACTAGTTCAATCGAGTGAGTTCCACTAAGAACTGGGATAATCCTACCAAGCTTCGCCGTGTTTCTTTCTATCTGACAGGCGTAGCGAAAAGATGGTTTTTCAATTATGAAACGGGCATCACGGACTGGACACGTTTCATGCAACAGCTTCGCCAAATTTTCGGCACCCCTGTGTTTCGTTCAGCTCTCGCGAAGAAGACACTGGATGCTCGCAAGCAACAATGCGATGAGTCTTATACCCGTGCCACACGGGCAGAAAAAATGGCATTTACCCCCGAATGCCTTCAGATTTATTGCCATTCGCGCGGTGCCACACGGGCGAACAAAATGGCATTCATCCGAATGCCATTCGAATGCCATTCGCCACCAACTGCCTTCGCCAGAACTCAGTTGACTGAGAAATGCCTACTCTCGACGACACAGCTCGAGAAGTGCGATTCACCTGAAAGTATATAAAAGAAATCATATTGAGCTAAAAATGAAATTTCCCGTCTTTTATTTGCACTAAAGTCTTAAAAAGATGCTTTGAACGTTATACAAAGAAAATAAAGTATTGATAATGAAACGCTTGTCAATTTTAGTGTCTATTTACGCTGTGGATCTGACTAGTGTTGGCTTAGGTTGCTACGGTCGGCTGCAACGTTGTAAAACAAAGCAAGAAGCTAAAACTTAGGACAGTGTAATACGCTTATTTCTACATTTGATGATTATCTGATGTGTTTGAAGCTTGTAAGTGCTTCTTAATTTTTTTATTGCTATTCACTCAATGCTCACTTGGAAGGTACTGTGATCGACATCATCAAGTCAAATGTCATTCGCTTTGGACGTGTAGCAGCGCTGGCGGAACGGAATGTCATTCGGGAACTGAAGGCCGTCGCCACCAAATGTCATTTTCTATGCCCGTGGGGCACGGGTATTACACATCGTACATAGAGGATGTGCTTGCTCTCTGTCACCGTTTCAGCACGTCCATGTCTGAATCAGAGAGATTTTGTCATTTATTGAAAGGGATTGGCACGGTCGCGTTCAATGCCTTGGTCATACAAAAAGCGACGACAGTCGCTGACGTTGTTGCCACGTACCAACGCCTAGAGGAACTTGAGTCCCAACGATTACCGCCGGACAGCGCTGAAAACACGACCACGACTGACGCCTCATTGCGTGCCATGATCCGGGCGATTATACGGGAAGAGCTAGTCTTTCGGCCTCTCAATGACACCGACTCCACCTCTTCCTCCAACACTGTTTTGCGCGACTTTATCAAAGAGGAGTTGGCGTCCATGACCGGGCCAGCGAACATAGACCCTCCAATATCTCGACTCTAGCCGACGTATGCACAAGTCCTCGCTGGCTCACCACCCGTCGTACAACCGATGACCGCACACTCGACGCCTGTCCCACTGGCTTCATTACCTCCGAGTGCGCCTAGCCAGCCCTTTCACCCACCATGGCGGCCGCCTAGTCCGATCTGTTATTACTGCGGCTATCGGGGCCACATTGCATGCTTCTGTTGGAAGCGTCAGCAGGACGAGCGTCGTGGATTCGACACCTACGGACGGGATGATGGGACAAGCTGGTACGCTTTCGTCCTTATGATCCGCCGCTACGTCGCTCACCGTCTACAACTGTGACATCTGAGCCAACCACTTCCTTCCGCTCTACTAGACGCCGCTCACCATCACCCCTCCGCCGCTCCACGTCTCCATTGCGACCTGTCTCGCAATTCACCGACCAACGCCCGGAAAACTTACCTTTGCAGCTTTTCGATTAAAAGCTGCATCGAACGAAAAGACAAAAATTCCTCCAGTGCGTCCATTTATTACGATATCTGTTTTAATAGAAGGTGTGTACGTGCGTGCTTTAATATACACTGGTGCTTGTTTGTCTGTGATTGATCGTTCCTTGTACTCACGTCTGCGAAAAGTCACCACCCCTTATGATGAACCTACACTGCTCCCTGCTCAGGGGGACGCCATTAGACCTGCCGGTATGTGCACCGCTAGCGTTTTCATAGCTGGTCTTCTCCATTTTGTGCAATTTGCCGTGCTGAGTTCGTGTGCCCACCAGCTTATATTAGACTGGTATTTTCTGTCTACGGCGAATGCTTCTATCTGCTGTCGAGAAAATGTTCATATTATGGAAACTAACTATTCCCTTTATGCGGGTGACAAGCCCGTTCGCTTGCTCGCTGCGAAGATACCGAGCTAACACCTGGTCATCAGCGAATAGTTACCATCACTTCTAGTGTGATCGACTCTGGCGACGTGTTTGTCCAACCATCTGCACGGTGTCTCGCAGGAGGTATAGCCCTTGCTTCAGGTCTAGCGCGGTTCCACAATGGCTCCGGACTTCTCTACGCTACAAACCAGACGCCTGAGAAAACTCTGATTCCTAAAGGCACCACAATGGCTTGCGTTAACGAATCCCCACCTGTCTCTGTTGTCCCACTTATGCCAGCGTGTTCTGACCATCCTTCTATTGGACGTTCATCAAGCGTTTCGGTTCTTGCGGCGACTATTAGTCTAGAGCTGACCTCGTCATAGACAGATGAGTTGCTTGCCTTGCTACAAAAGCATTGGAGATTGTTTGATGCCCATTTTTCATCTCTGGGACAGATGTCCATTATTAGCCATCGTATCCAGACCGATGACACCTTCCATCCTATGCCGTCGACCATATCGCGTCTCTTCGTCCGAGCGTGAGGTCATTGAACAAAATGTAGCCGATATGCTACAACGGAACATTATACGTCCCTCCGCGAGTCCTTGGTCATCCCCTGTTGTTTTAGTAAGGAAAAAAGATGGCTCGGTGCGATTTTGCCTGGACTACAAAGCACTTAATAAGATTGCCCACAAGGATGTTTACCCCATGCCGCGCATAGACGATGCTTTGGATTCGCTGCAAGGTGCCGAGTACTTCTCAAGCCTAGACCTGCGTTCAGGTTACTGGCAAATACCCTTGCACGATGATGACAAAGAAAAGACATCGTTTTCAACACCAGATGGGCTGTACGAATTCAACCTCATGCCATTCGGCCTTTGCAATGCTCCAGCAACATTCGAGTGGATGATCGAGACACTTTTACGGGGCTTGAAATGGAAGACTTGCTTGTGCTATTTAGACGATATCGTTATTTTCTCCTCAACCTTCCCTCAGCACTTGCAACGACTGGACGAAGTTCTTACGTGCCTTGCAAACGCAGGCCTTCAGCTGAACACAAAGAAGTGCCGTTTTGCGAGCAAGACGATTAAAGTGTTAGGCTATATATTGAGCAAGCAAGGTATTCGTCCTGATCTAGACAAGATTTCCGCTGTCCAACACTTCGCGCGTCCTGAAAAAACAAAAGATTCACGCAGTTTCCTCGGCCTCGCTTCTTATTTTCGCTGATTCATTCGAGACTTCGCCTCAATAGCTTCACCATTGCCTAAGTTGCTCGGTTCAGGCGTCGCCTTTGTGTGGTCTCCTGAATGTGAAGCGGCGTTTGCCCAACTGAAGGTGCACTCACATCCGAACCTATCCTCTGCCATTTCGACGAAACCGTGCCTACGCTCCTGCATACAGACGCTAGTGGTCGAGGCATTGGTAGAATTCTCCTACAGCGAGACAAATCTTCACGTGAGAAAGTCGTCGCATACGCGAGCCGTGCACTGACCCCTGCCAAAAAGAATTATACCATCACCGATCAGGAGTGCCTAGCGTTCGTATTGTTGATACAAAATTTCGACCTTATCTCCCCGGCCGCCACTTTACTGTGGTTACGGACCACCACGCCTTGTGCTGGCTCTCGACAATCAAGAACTTGTCCGGCCGCCTTGGTCGCTGGATTCTTTGCTTACAAGAATACAACTGCATGATTACATACAAGTCGGGAAACAAACATCAAGATGCCGACGCACGTTCGCTTTCCCGCTCTCTTCGGAGCCACTTAACAAACCCGCCACTGCCCCACTCGAGACGCTTTCGGTCGTCTCTTCCCTACATGTTTCGTCCTTAGCTACTGTGGACCCAACTTCTCCAAGCGAGTGTGGTTTGTTCTTATCTCACCAACGTGCTGACCCTTACTGTCGCCGCATCATGGACCGTCTTGACGGGACTTGCCGGCCCCCTAACGCCCGTCTTCGCCGACAGCTGACGCAATTCAAGCTCAACAACCACGTCCTGTACCGTAATATATACCACCCTGATGGTCAACGCTGGGTGCCCGTTCTACCTCGCTCTCTTCAGACTCAAGTCCTCAAGACATGTCTCGACGACATGTCTGCTGGGCACATGGGCTTCCAGAAAACGTATGACTGCATAAGATGTCACTACTACTGGCCGGGCTTGTCCACTTGTGTCGCGGAGTACGTTGCCTCGTGCGCCCTTTGTCAGCATCGCAATACCTACATCAACTCGAAAATAACAGTTACAACTGCTCCCGTGTCCCCTGTAACCATTTATTTACAGTACCTTACAGAGCCCTCGAGGGGCATTGTGTAAGGGGGGCAGTACAGATAATGTTGGAAATATATATATACAGATATATCTACACATACATAGACAAATATTTAATGTGATAGAAAATGCAGTTCAACTTATGAACATGTAAGCAAAATACATACTGTATCATATCTGATGAAAGCACATGTGCTATCTACGTGCATGATTGCCTCGTGCGTACTCCTGCCCCTCACCTTTTCTAGCGCTTTCCCCCTTCGACTATAATTACCAACGCAGAATAAACGATGGCGTTCACTTGTTTCTCGACAACCCAGCTGTCCAGCCTGTTCATTCCACACACGAATGGTGTCGGAAGTGGGCAACGTATAAGCAACGACATGGATCACCTGAGGCCGCCTGAACCGCTACGTTTGACAGCTGATGGAGGAAGGAAGTGGACGCGGTTTCGTCAGCAGTTCGAATTTTTTCTGCAAGCGATGGCATGCCAAGCTAATCCGAGGTCGGAAGCAGCAAAAACGGCCCTGCTCCTCAGCGTTGCGGGGGAGGAAGCCTTGGACGTTTTCAACAATTTTGTGTTCAGCGGAGAAGAAAACAAGGAGGATTTCAGCACCGTAATTGCCAAATTTGAAGATTACTGCCTGGAGCAGCAAAATGAAATACACGAGCAATACGTGTTCCGTTTCCGCAGTCAAGGTGAGGCGGAGCCCTTTGAGCAGTTTCTACGCGAGCTTAAAAAACAAGCGCAGCACTGCAACTTTGGGATCATGGCGGATGACATGGTGCGAGACCAAATTGTTTTTGGAACAAACTCTCCAAGGCTTCGAGAAAAGATGCTCAGGGACCTTGGAAAAAGTAATCCTTTGCAAGGCGGCGGAAACATCAGCTCGTCCAAATGAATTCTGGCAAAAAACAAAGGAAGAACTCGATATGAACGCTGTCACAGCCAGTAAGGGCACCCCTAGAGGGTCCAGGAATGGCCTAAAATGCAATCGTTGCAACCGAAGGCATGCCTACAGATGCTGCCCGGCATACGGAAAAGTATGTTAATAGTGTAATGGCCGCAACCACTTCGCGTCTTGTTGCAAAGAGAAAGAGCGCGTGTATGAAGTGCAACATGCGAGCGACGACTTCGAAGTACGGAATGTCGCCAGCAGCTGCGCAAGCAGAAAACGGGACTGGCGTGTGAACGCATGCGTTGGCGGCAAGTACATCCCCTTTAGGGTGGACACAGGATCGCAGGCCAATGTTCTGCCACTTTCAATGTTTCGCAAGCTCAAGACGACAACCCTGATGCCCAGTAGCGATGTTCTGAGATCATATGGTGGCAACACGATCAAGCACATCGGAAAGTTTTCAGCGCTTATTGAGATTGGTGGTCGGAAGGCATGCGCAGAATTTTTTGTAGTAAAGAAGGACCACAGCACTATCTTAGGATTCGACACCAGCGAGAAGCTTGGAATCGTACAGCGGGCTGTTGCCAGCGTGATGACGAACGACACCGAAGAAATTGTCAAGGAGGTTCCACGTCTTTTCCACGGAACAGGATGCGCCCCACGTGAATACAAGTTGAGCTTTTAAGGTAGGTTGCATTCGCCCAAAGGTTGATAATGCGCTGAGGAACAAACAAGCCAAAGGGAGATGCGCTGTTAATTATAGGAACAAGTACATCGCATGCGTAAAAACAAGCGGTGTATTTAACTCCATTATCGTGTAGTAGGGAGTACGTAGGACAAGCGAAACTATGTTTGAATGTTCGTTTAAGGGAGAATGTGTTATCTCTTCAAGGGGTCGCGTGACTTCATCTACCTGAACATTGCAGGTAATGCGGTTGTCCCATTTTTGAGACAACCACCATCGTCTTCAATCATCCTAACCAACTAACAAGAGCAATCGCTGAGGCATATCATATAAAGCTTAGGGGCAGCAAGTGCATTAGTTAACCATCCGTCACGCTGCAGGAAAAATTATTAAGCTATTTAGGTCAATCTTGATTATTGCCATAAATGGGACAACGCTACGCCTATATATATATATATATATATATATATATATATATATATATATATATATATATATATATATATATATATATATATATATATATATATATATTGGTATGGGGAAGATTTAGTCACCGAGAGCTGGTCTTCCTAACGTCTTAAAGAGCGCACGGTCATGCAGGCCAATGGGAGAAGCTCGAGAGTCCGACCAACAACAACCACGTTGTCGTCTTCTTCATTTGGGTGCCAATTCAGCTGTGTCAGGGCGACAGTTCCATACACGTATCATCACCCCGGCCCGTAAGGCACCGTCTCGGTGCCTGTTAAATGAGCGAGTCGGCGTTGTAGGGCTTGAGACAAGAAACGTGGACTACTTCCGTTCGGGGTGCAGCAGCTGATGAGTTTGTGGTAGAGGCAATCTCGTAAATCACAGGTGTGACCTGACGAATGACTCGGTAGGGCCCAGCGTATCGCGATAATAGTTTCTCGCAGAGGCCAACACGTCGAGATGGGAGCCACAGGAGAACATAAAGAGACTTATGTACTGTCTGCGACGACGATAACCGAGCACGCGCTACCGCGCGTGCCGTGAGGGCACGGGTGATCGCATCCTGAGCGTACGAAGTGGAGGATGGGTGGCCTGATGAAAGCAGTGTGTCGAAGGGCAGCAAGGGATGACGTCCGAAGAGTAGATAAAAAATTGCCCGCAGCTTCCCTCGGGGGAACACTGAGGAGGATGCGGACCATATAATTGGTTAACGGGGTGTTAAAGTGCGACTTACTTGGGTCGATGGCTAAATTGGTTAACGTGGTTGTGAAATGGGGTGTTAAATTGCGACTTACTTGGGTCGATGGCTAAATTGGTTAACGTGGTTGTAGGAGGGGGTGTTAAATGAGTGAACACGTACACACGTATGCGAAAGGGCGGCGCTGGTCGAAGGGACGTCGATCATTGTGTTTGTGGATTCGTTGGAATTCATTTCACCGCGACCTTGGACGTCGACGCGCCGTACAAACCAACCGACGAGCGGCAACTGAGCGAGCGAGCGCCGACCTTGAGTATATTATACAGCACGATGCGCATGCACTGTCAGCTGTTGAATGTTCTCGAAGCGCGACGCCACATGCGCGTCCACTGGAGAATCAGGAGAATTGTAGATGTCGAACGCGGTGTGTAGAGGAGGAAGGGTGCACAGATGGTGGAGGAGTGAAGCGCGCGCGGTGTGTAGAGGAGGAAGGGATGCACAGATGGTGGAAGAGTGGGCGACGGCGCGACGGCGCATGCGCGCGCGTCAGCTGTCGAATGTTCGAGAAGCGGTGCGGACGGCGCACTACAAGGCGCGAGTATAAGATGCTCCGCATCTAAAAAGGGGAGTAGCCTACTGTTTCATGACGCGACGAGTTATAGGCGAAGGTTACGAACGGAAGAGCTATGTCCCAATCAGTGTGGTCGGTAGATACGTACATGGAAAGCATGTCAGTTAATGTGCGGTTTAGGCGCTCTGTAAGGCCGTTAGTCGGAGGGTGGTAAGATGTGGTGAAGTTGTGACGGGTAGCACAAGATCGGAGTAGATTATCAATCACACGAGATAGAAAGTAGCGACCACGGTCTGTGAGCAAGTGAGTCGGAGTGCCATGCTGGAGAATAATGTCGTACAGCAGGAAGTCGGCAACGTCGGTTGCGCAGCTGGTTGGTAGCGCTCGAGTGATTGCATACCGAGTGGCATAGTCTGTGGCCACTGCAATCCATTTATTTCCAGTTGTAGAAGTAGGAAAGGGACCTGGCAAGTCCAACCTCACTCGATAAAATGGCCCGGCTGGAACTTCAATAGGTTGAAGAAGACCGGCAGGGGGAGTCGTAGGCTTCTTTAGGCGCTGGCAGAGGTCGCAAGATGCGACGTAACGGCGAATAGAGCGGTACAGACCCTTCTAGAAAACTCGTCGTCGAATGCGGTCGTAATTTCTGAAGACTCCTAGATGTCCAGAAGTCGGAGCGTCGAGGAATTGTCGCAGAACATCCTTTCGCAGGTGATGCTGTACGATGAGTAAAAGTTCCGCGCCGTCGGGGTGTAAGTTTCGGTGGTACAAAACGTTGTCTTGAAGCAGGTATCTGCTAAGAGAAGGGTCAGCATAACGCGATTGAAGGCGGTCAATGATGGTGAGCAGCGATGGATCTCGGCGCTGTTCGTCACCACGTTCAGACAGTCAGTGATGGCTAAAACGCAGGCATTGGATTCCAAATCAGTGGAGCTAGGTGGATCAACGGAGTGCCGGGATAAGCAGTCAGCATCGCTGTGCAGCTTTTCAGATTTGTAAACAACCGAGAAAGTGTACTCTTGTAATCGAAGTGCCCATCGGCCGAGTCTTCCTGTAGAGTCCTTAAGCGTCGACAGCCAGCAAAGCGCACGATGGTCCGTGATGACTGCGAACGGACGTCCGTATAAGTACGGACGGAATTTCGCAATAGCTCAAACGAGGGCTAAGCATTCCCGCTCAGTGATGGAATAATTTTGTACCGCTTGCGACAAAAGGCGGCTAGCGTAGGCTATCACACGGTTGGTGCCATTCTGTATCTGAGCGAATATAGCACCAATGCCATGGCCGCTTGCATCGGTGCGAAGTTCTGTTCGAGCCGCTGGATCAAAATGAGCCAACACAGGTGGTGATGTGAGGGCGGTAATTAGCGACGCGAAGGAACGTTCTTGGTCCGTTCTCCAAGAAAAGGCCACATTCTTTTTGAGAAGATCCGTGAGGGGCCTAGCAATATCCGCGAAGTTGAAGACAAAGCGGCGGAAGTATGAGCAGAGCCCAATAAAACTGCGAGTTTCTTGTGTGGAACGCGGAACCGGGAATTCTCGGACTGCACGCACTTTGTCAGGGTCGGGTTGAACACCAGTGGCGTCAACAAGGTGGCCGAGTAGTTTAATCTACCGTCGTCCAAATGAGCATTTCAACGAATTCAGTTGGAGACCAGCGCAACGGAAAACGTCAAGAATTGCCGAGAGACGAGACAGGTGGCTTTCGAAGGAGGGCGAGAAAACGATTACATCATCCAGATAGCAAAGGCAGGTCGACCATTTGAAACCGCGAAGAAGAGAGTCCATCATACGTTCAAAAGTAGCCGGAGCATTGCACAACACAAAAAGCATGACCTTGAATTGGTAAAGGCCGTCGGGTGTGATGAATGCGGTCTTCTCGCGGTCGCGGTCGTCGACCGAAATTTGCCAGTATCCGGATCGAAGGTCAAGGGACGAGAAATAGTTGGCGCCGTGGAGGCAGTTGAGCGCATCATCGATTCGGCGTAAAGGATAAACGTCCTTCTTGGTGATCCGATTAAGGTGGCGATAGTCGACGCAAAAGCGCCAGGTGTTGTCCTTCTTTTTAACTAGGACCACAAGGGAGGCCCAAGGACTTGATGAAGGCTCAATGACGTCTTTACTCAGCATTTTCTCGACCTCCGTCTGTATAACTTGGCGCTCAGCATGTGACACGCTATAAGGGCGTTTGTGGAGTGGACAGGCGTCGCCGGTGTCGCTGCGGTGGGTTACGGCACTTGTGCGGCCCAGGGGACGGTCGTCGATGTCAAAGATATCCTGGTAAGAAAACAGAACAGACCGAAGCGCCGCAACTTGGGAAGCTAAGAGGTCGCTGGATATCATTTTGTCGAGGAACGCCTTATTTTGCGACGTGATGACAGGTTTCGCCATGACCTTAGTGTCAGGTGTAAAAGAACAAATCGAACATTCATCAAGGGTGGAAAGATCGGCTAAAGTGATGCCTTGGGGAAGAACTTGGGTCGACGTAGAGATGTTCAGAACTGGAAGTAGCACCGTGTTGTTAGCAACAACCACTATAGTATGTGGTAGTGCGATGTGGTGCGTAAGGGTCAAATCAGCGAGGGGAGCTATTAGATAGTCTCCATCAGGAATGGACGGGAAGGGCGACACAGGAATGTACATAGCAGCCTGGGGCGGTAGCCGTAGAGACTCCACGGATCGTAGCCGAGTGCGACTTGGAGGAGTGAAATCGGAGCACAAAGGCAATTCGAGCCGTAAAATACCGGTACAACAATCGATGAGGGCAGAGTAGGTGGTTAACAAGTCAATTCCAAGGATGACGTCGTGTGGGCAAGCATCAAGGACTGCGAAGAGAACGGAAGTGTGGTGGCCAGCAACAATAACGCGGGCAGTGCACATACCAAGCACCGATGCTCGACTTCCGTTGGCAACTCGAACAGTAGAGAACATAGCTGGTGTGAGAACCTTTTTCAGGCGACATTGAAGTGTAGAACTCATAACAAATACTTGGGCACCAGTGTCAATTAGAGCAGTAACTGTTCCAATGTCCAGCAGTAAACACGCAGCCTTGAAGCAACAATGAAGAAAAACCTTTATTTGCGGCAGCGTTCCGGTATATATATAACGTGGGGCAGCTGAATTATCACAGCCAAGCGGTACAGAACAGTGATAGGCAAAGGCAGATACAAAAAGGCGCATGCGCAGGCAGCTAACACGATACATCTCCCTCCGTATGACAGCTAGAGCTTTGACATCAAGATACACGTGACTTGGTTGAAGTTCTCGTCGTAACCAAGGCGGCTGGGTTTTCGCCTTTGCCGGGCGGACTTCCTTGGTTGGTGTTCTAGCGTTGGGGTTGACGTCGTCGACTCCGGCGAACTCCCTGCTGACGCAGGTTGTACCTCTGACGGCGACCATGAATTTTCCTGGAACATGTCTTCGTCGGTGGATGAGTCCTCCGCTTCGTCCCTCTGGAAAGATTCATGTGTGGCGAGAAGGTGTTGCCGATTCCGTCGAAGCACCCGACTGTCTTCTGTGAAGACGCGATAACACCTAGGCGCCACCTTATCCAAAACACGAGCCTTGCGATCCCAGGTATCCCCACGAACTCTTACTACTGCATCTTTGTTGAAATCTGGCAGGGGTTTCCTTCTCGACGACTTCGGTTGGCGCGACTGACGCCTGAAGTCCTGGAGTCCAGAGCACGGTCTGAATTCGGGCAGCCGATTGCACAATTTCCTGCCCTGCAGCAATTCTCCTGGAGATTGGCCTTCGTCCAGTGGCGTCGAGCGATAGCTGAGTAGACCAAGCCAAAAGTCCTCCTCCCTTTCACCAGTCTTCTTCATGATCCTTTTAACAATTTGAACTTCTTTTTCTGCGAGCCCATTTGACCGCGGGAATCTTGGACTGGAAGTCACGTGCGTGAAGTCATATCTGGAGGCAAAGAAAGAGAATTCATGGGATGCGAACTGGGGGCCATTATCAGTGCAGACTTCTAAGGTAATTCGATATCTAGAAAAGATTGAGCTAAGTTTTTCATGACCGTGCCCGTCGTTGTGTCCGGCAGCTTTTCGACTTCAGGAAAGTTCGGAAACGCATCAAACACGCACAGGTAGGAGCTCCCGGCGTACATAAAGATGTCAACGCCAATTCTGTACCAGGCATGCTCTGGGGTTGGCCTGAGCACTACCGGTTCACTTTGTTGCCTGTACGCGTATTTTTGGCAAACAGCGCAGTTTTTCACTAGATTTCCGATGTCTCCATTCAGGCCGGGCCAGAATAGCAGTCGACGGGCCCTTGCTTTGCACTTATTTATGCCTAGATTACCTTCATGAATGCGACCCAGTATTTCAGCTCTCATAGCCTTAGGAATGATGACCTTTGTTTCTTTCAGGACAATCCCTTGAACATCGGTCAACTCTGAGCTGAATGGTTTCAAGCAGCCTTGTAGTTCTTCGCCGTTTCTCATGCAGCGCAGCACAGTTCGTAAATCGGGGTCAGCAGCTGTTGCTTCAGCTAGACGAGCAAACATTTTCTTGCTTACCAGGTCTGAAGACACGCTCACTGCATGAAGGTCAACATCCTCTGTGAAGTCATCCATAGTGCCCGGTGCCACTGGCGACGATCTAGATAACATATCAGCCAGGAACATTTGTTTACCTGGGACAAAGTGAAGAACATAATCGAATCTGAGCAAACGCAGAAAAAACCGCTGAAGTCGTGGCGGCATGTCACCAATGGCCTTCGAAGCAATTGCTATCAGCGGTCTGTGGTCCGTCTCAATGAAAAATTTGCGGCCTTATACGAAGTGAAAAAACTTCTCGCTCCCAAAAGTGATTGCCATTGCCTCTTTTTCGATTTGTGCGTATCGTTGCTCAGTCTCGGTCATTGTGCGGGACGCATAGGCTACCGGCCGCCAATTGTCGTCATAACGCTGAAGGAGAGCCGCACCGATGCCGTTTTTCGAAGCATCTGCGACGACCTTTGTTTCCCTAGGGGGATCGAAAATGGCTAGCAACGGTGCAGTGCTCAGTAAAGCGCAAGCAGATTTCCATTCGCGGGCATGGTTCTCAGACCATTCGAAGGTGGTGTCTTTCTTAAGGAGGCTTCGCAGGAGCGTCGTTCTTTGCGCCAGATGCAGTATGTATTTACCAAATTAGTTGACCACCCCTAGCATTCTGTGGACGCCGGCTTTGTCAACTGGTGGCGGCATCTCGCTTAATGGTGTTGTCATTGCGGGGTTAGGTCTGATCCCGTCTTGGCTTATCACGTCGCCCAAGAAGTCGATTTCGGTGACCCCGAATTGGCACTTAGCAGCATTGAGCGTTAGGCCGGCGCTCTTGGCCAACTGCAAGGCTGTGCGGAGGCGGGCGTCGTGCTCTTCCCTCGTGCTACCCCATATCAATATATCGTCGATATATATTCGCACTGCTGGGACCTGGTCGAATATTTCATTCATGGTTTTTTGAAAAACCTCAGGTGCCGAAGCTATACCAAAAGGCAGCCTTAGGAAACGGTAGCGCCCAAACGGCGTGCCAATCGTGCACACCTTCGAAGTAGCCTTATCTAGAGGAATTTGATGAAATCCAGATTGCGCGTCGAGGCGAGAGAAAAACTTGGCACCGGCCAGCTCAGCCTCAATGTCCTCTCTTTTTGGCATTTGATAGCGCTCTCTTTTTAAGCACTCATTGATGCGCCTGGGGTCAATGCAGACACGCAGTTTACCATCCTTTTTTCTCGCGGCGACAAAGGGGCTCACCCAATCCGTCGGTTCGCTGACTTTGACCACGATGCCTTCATGCTCCATGCGATACAGTTCCTCTCGCAAGGGCTGGAGCAGCGCCTGGGGCACCCGTCGTACCGGTTGGACCACCGGGGTTGCATCCCCCTGCAGAACCATGTGGTACTGGCGTTTTAGCCAACCGATGCCCTGAAACAACTCGGGAAATTCTGTCATCGCTTGGATGGTGCTGCTTGTATTCACTACGTCGACAGTACGAGAGACCAGTCCCAAAGCTTCACTCACCGACAGCCCCAGGATGGCCTGGGTGCTCTTCTTAACAATGAAGAAGTCGAAGTAACCGGTGTGGCTGTTCGCGACAACTTGTAGCGTAGTAGCACCGATATGCTTGATAGCGTCGCCACTGTATGAGCGCAGAACAGAGGAGCTTTCCCGTAACCTGGACTTCGATTTTAGGCTTTGGAACACAGACTGAGGCAACAAGTTGGCTTGTGAGCCTGTGTCAACCTTAAGAGACACTTGTTTGGAAGCCAATGTTGCATTGATCAGCAGATCAGCTTTGCTGCCAACGTTGACATCGAGGATGTAAAAGTCATCTTGCTCGTCGCGCACTTCACTGACTTGAGGCCCTTTCTTGCAGCAGGAAGCAAAGTGGTTAGCGCCCCGGCACAGAAAACAAGTTTTGCCAAAGGCTGGGCATTATCCACGCTCGTGGGAACGAAGGCACCGGGAACACCTGAATTGTCTGCGTGCCTTAACATGTGCAATTGCTTTTTCGGGTTCCACCCTACATTCCTCGGCACATTCGGAATATGGTTCACACGCTGCACATTTGGCCTGCCGGTGAATCTTGATCGGCGCTACTTTTTTCTCTGTACCAGCCCAGGCATTATTTTGCTCAGCGCATACTTCGTCGGTCTTACAAATGTCTTCCGCTTTTTGTAGCGTGAGATCTTTAACTTTGAGCATTTTCTCGCGCAATTTCGGATTAACTGTTCCAAAAACAATCTGGTCCCTGACCATGGAGTCACTCAAGGTGCCGAAATTGCAGCTTCGTGCAAGCCGCCTTAAGTCCCGGGCGAAATGCTCAAAGGGCTCCCCCTCTGCTTGCGTTCTTGAGCGGAAAACATAACGCTCGTATACTTCGTTCCGCTGCTGTTGACAGTACGCCTCAAACTTGCTCGTAACAGTTGCGTAATCTCCTTGCTTTCGTTCTCAAAGAAGGCAAAGATGTTGAATACCTCTAGGGCGTCTTCTCCGGCAACGCTGAGCAGGAGTGCTGTCTTGGCTGCCTCCGACCTCGGTTCTTTCGACGGCTCCGTGGCCTGCAGGAACAGCTCGAAGCTCTGCTTGAAAAGGCTCCAGTTCTTTGCTGTACTTCCCGAGAGCACCAATGGCTGCGGTGGCTTCAGTAGTTCCATCATGAAGGTGCACGGTGACGCCCCTCTGCCTGTTGTCACTGCTTTGGCGAACGCGATCCCACTTCTGACACCATGTTCCGGTGTCCAGCAGTAAACACGCAGCCTTGAAGCAACAATGAAGAAAAACCTTTATTTGTGGCAGCGTGCCGGTATATATCGTGGGGCAGCTGCATTATCACAGCCAAGCGGTACAGAACAGTGATAGGCAAAAGGCAGATACAAAAAGGCGCATGCGCAGGCAGCTAACACGATACAGTGCAAACATGATAAACATGATATGCGTGTTATGTAACGACATGACTACATGCTATGCTCATAATGCGCTCGCGGCCATTTCGCTAGCTTCAGATGTACCAAAATTGGTATTACGTGACGTGAACGGACGACATAGGTAAATGACACATCCAAACTTGATAATCACGACATGTGTGTCATGTAACAACATGACTACATACCACACTCATGATGCGCTCGCGGCCGTTTCGCTAGCTTCACATATGCAAAATTTGGTAGTATATGTCACGTCAGTGAATGTCGAAGGTATGTGACTGGTGTAAACATGAAAATTATGAGATGCGTGTCATGTAAGAACATGACTACATGCCACAGTCAAGGTGCTAATACGTTTAGACGTGACGCGGTGCGCGTGCTTGCCGGCGTTCATCCCGTTGCGTCACGGTGGCCACGCCAGGCGCCAGTCCTGCAATATACTCGCAGGCGTGCATTGCGTTGGTTTGACGTGACGCACGCGCGTTTCAGTGCGTCCGGCGTTCACCCGTCACGAAAAGAGGGAGACGCAGTGTTGTCTGGGTAACGCATTGGCACGAAATGCAGCATGCCGCATTTCGCGTCAGCTGCCGCTGGGTCACGCCGACAGACGCTGGTCGCGCTGGTCGCGCCGGGCGTCGCACTATAGAGTGCTTGCGTTTTGCTAACGTAGCGTCGCTGTGCCCAGCGTGCGCGTGCGTCAACTCTTCATTTAAGTATATTGGGCCCTTCATAATGCGCTAGCGGCCGTTTTGCCAGCTCCACAGAAACCAAATTTGGTGTTAAGTTACGTCAATGGATGACGAAATATATGAATGGTGCAAACATGGTAATTCTGACACGCGAGTCATGTCAGAACATGACAATATACCACGCTCATAGTGTGCTCGCGGGCGTTTCGCTAGCTCCACATATACTAAATTTAGTATCACGTGACGAGAATAGATGACGAAGGTAATCCACACATCGAAACAATAATCATGACACGGAAGTCATGTACGGCATTATTTACCTCCACTTCGTAACGTTGTGCTCATGTTAAAGTGACATATCAACCTTTTTCATTCGTGCTTCCCACATCATCGATTCCTACTGTACATGGTATCTGCCGATTTTTCGATAATCAAGTAAAATATTTATGGTGTTCGTGGTTGTGTGTTAAATTTACTGAGGTCATACCTGTACCATCGGTGAGAAGTTGTTGAAATAAATAACTCACGATTCCAAATTCTGCCACTGCTTTGTGGTGTTCTACATTGCTGCATTCTGGGACCTTTGCTTTTCAACCTTTGCATTATTGACATCGTTAACACTAATAATAATACCTTGTTTATTATATAGGCAGACGACACAACCATATTTTTTTCTCGAAACAGCATTGACTATCTCATATCAAATTGTATTGACACCTTAATCAAACTACAACAGTGATCATTATTCAATTCCACGAATAATAATAAAAATAAAACGAAGGAGGTTATATTTTGAGCCAAGAATAAGCCAATCCCTTCTCATGCGGACGTAATTTTCAATTCCTGCCCAGTTGATATTGTTGACCACTTTAGGTGCCTTGGTGTTGTATTTAGTGCGCACATGTGTTCGGAAGCGCACGTGAACTCAGTGCTGACACAATTAGCTCGAATAACTGAAATAGTCAGTCGGCTGAAATACATTCTCTCTCCGAAAATTAAAATCCTAGTATACAATTCTCTTTTTTATTCACATTTCGACTTCTGTCAAGTTGTCTGGGGTACGACTTCATTCTCTAATCAACAAAAAGGTTGCGTTATGTAGAAACGATATCTACAAAATATTTATAATGCTGAATATAATGCAACAGTTATAAGCTTCTTTCATAAAGCTGGTAATATAACAGCTCACAAGTTATACTATTATCGGCTGAGTTCTAGAAATAAATATGAAGTAAGACATAGCACACATAATCTAGACACCCTAGCACAATTGTAAACAAATGACCACTAATATAAAACGAGACAGAGAGCATTGAAAAGCTGTCACACCCCGTTTGAATACTGGTATAGAGCGTTTATGTTGTTCTTTACCATCATTGTTAAAGAATCTTCAGTCAATCGATTTTGATTTGTTTTGTTGCTTCTCAGCTGTACTTAGATATATGTTTGTAAAGAAAGCTAATTTTATTGATTCTGGTGTGGTATTGTTGTATGATTTTTTTTGACGGGCTATTGTATATTGCTTTTATTCTGCTATATCATAAATTTTCATGTTTTCGTTTTGTGAGCTGTTTTTTTTCTTTTACTCACATGCCACAGATTATTTTTGGCTACAGACTAGTCAACCCGCCTCTCGGCAGCTTTTTTTCCATTGTCCTCCAATAGTGGGATTGTACAAGGTGGAAATACATTTTGAATTTGGATTTGAGATCCCCCTAGTATACGTACTCCACAACGCCAGAGGTCACATGTGCATAGCTCTCACAAGCATAAATTGCAACCAACTAATACACGGTAGCACGTGCCCGTTCCTAAGCAATGTGTAAACCTCACATGCCCTCCTTCGCCGACTCCTAATAGATCCCATTTACCACCCTCTAATTCCTCGAAAAGCATAGCTGGAGTAGTCGCACTAGGCATCGTCCAAACATTAAACGTAGCCAAGTTCAGATTTTGGTGGTGGCCTGTTTGGAGCCAGAGACTGTTAGCACCCTCTGCTGCGTCGCAGGTCTGACTGCTGCCTTGGACAGTTGCTTCAGAGCCACCGGGGACTGAAGTCGGATGCCTTATACTGCGTTCATATGGGTGGTAGGGACCAAGTACATTTACTGCACCAGGGTGGCTGATCCTGCTCTCGTGGGGGAGTTTATTACAGCAGATGTTCGCCAGTGAGGCGACACCTCTTCCACCAAAGTAATGACGTGCTCAACGCATAGCGTCAGCTTGAATTTATATGCCCCAATGACTCTAGGCTCCACACACATACGCGACAAGTCCGCACGACACGTAAAGCTCATAACTTGCTTCTGAGAGTCTTCATAGTTCTTCGTTTGGGGAGCCAGTGGGCGGCTTTGCTTTACGTTAAGTATCTTAAATTTGCCTCTGTTTACACAGTGCGCAATTATATTAGGCCACTTGGTAACGTAGCTTAGTAAAATTTAATCAAATATTATTACAAACACCATGTTATGTCATAATAATTGCATAATACTGCCTCAACATGGCCTAATATACAAGACTCAAGATGGCCGTATGCTACGCTTCTATAAGGCGCCTCGATGAACTTGAACGAATCTCAACGTTAGTAATAGGTTGTTAGACGCTCAATATAATGACATCTAAGATTTCTTCTACAAATTCGTTAAGCAAGTTGCATGGCAAAAAGTTAGTAACAGTGCTAATTGAACCGTTGCGACCTTTTAAGTGTCTGAAAACATACGTAGTAAAAAGGTGACAAAAGTAGGTAAGTGCCCAAAAAAGTTGGTAACAGTTCCTGTGAATAACTGTTTGCTTGTGGGTACAATCTTTTTTTAATCTTTTAAAAGAGTGCGCAGTTAAGGTACTCAAATTCGGCCGTAAATAGACAAAGGATTTATTCGAATACAGTTCACGTTTAACGAAAGAATCAAAATGCAAGGTTGCAGGCCAAATCAGGCAACCAACGTTCCGGGTGAATGAAAACGCCTGCTCGAATCTGACGCAACGGGCTGCATAAACACCTAAGCGTAACTGCAAATACTGCGAGCGCTACGTACGAGAAAACAGCGCTCTGTAACACGCAAAAACTCGAGTATCACGGTAGTTTAAAATGCGCAATGGCGCAAATTCATACCCCGGCGTAGTTTAGGCAATCCACAAGGAAAACACGTATCTGATAGTAGTCATATCCTATAATGATCCCGTAGCTGTTTATATTGGAGAGTAGCCCATATGAGACTTTCTTAGACATGTTCACTTCTTAGCGCACAATATGAATAACCATGATAAAGCAATGAACACAAATTCACAACAAGTATCAGCTTTATTTTATTTATTTAGTTATCGATCCTGCAGGCCAATATGCTGGCCCATGCAGGAGGGGCAAATACAATAATACAATGACAAGGAATTCACAAAAAGACTAACGATGCAAGGAGAAAAACGTACAGTGCAAGACGCTTGCTTCGCAAAACAATTTACAGAAGTGATAGCAACAAAAAAAAATCTTAAGACAATAACAGACCACTACACATAGCATGGGATTCACGACACTATTGTAAGAAATGTTTAAACACTGATTATATTTATACTAAATATTAAGAGAAGTGGATTCCCAATTTTTTGTATGGTTTTCCGATTGTATGACGTGAACAGGTAAAGAGTTTCATTCACTTCACTTCACTTCACTTTATTACCTTAAAGACCCCCGTGAGGGGGTATTACATAAGGGGTGGGTTAACAAATGGAGGTTACAGAAAGTGATCTTCTGACAAACAATTTGTATTTGTGTTTTGCACAAACGTTGATGAACACGTGATGGCTGCAATGTCACGGGGAAGGCCATTCCATTCTTTTATAGTGCGCGGAAAAAAACTGTTCATGTGAGATTCGGTTTTGACGAATATAGGCGTGAGAGAAAAGCTGTGTCTGTGTCTAGTCAACCGTGTGTTTAGGGGTACTAAAAAGTGAGGCTTCTGAAGGCCAATTGTCCCCTTTATTATGTTGTGCAAGAACTGTAGGCGACTAAGTTTACGGCAATGTTCTAGTGAACTTATTTTATTG